AGCTGGTTTTGTCTAAGTGAGTTCAGAGTCCCAGTATTAATCAGTGATTCCATATATTACCACTCTAGGGGAGCATCTGTATATATAATCAGATGAGATTCTATAGAATCGTCTATAAACATTCTATATATAATCTTTCATAAACATGAAGAGCTGATCATATAAAGAACTCTTCAGAAATTCAGATGTCATGTGACACATTAATTTTGTATAACTTGGAAAAAAAACCATATTGATCCCATCAAGTTTGTGTTTGTGTTTTCCATACATAGCATATCACAACTTAAAATACTAACTCTAACTTCATAAGGAAACCAACAAGTAGATTAACAATAGGCCAAAAACTTAATAGACACCTTACCAAAGAAGCAATACAGATGTCAAATAAGGATAGATCATCAGGGAAATGGAAGTTAAAACAATGAGATGCCACCGCACACCTATCAGAATGGCCAGAAACTGGAACACTTACAACACCGAGTGCTGGTGAGGCTGTGAAACAACGGGGACTTCCTCGGGCACTGTGAGTGAGAAGGCAAAATGGTAACAGCCATTTTGGAAGACAGTATGGCGTCTTTTACAACACTAAACACATTCTTACCACACATTCCAGCAGTCGTGCCCCTTGGCATTTTCCCAAAGGAGGTGAAAATTTATGTTCACACAAAAACCTACATTTAGATGTTTACAGCAGCTTTGTTCATAATCACCAAAATTTGGAGGCAACCAAGATGCCCTTCAAAATGTGAATGGATAAGTATACTGTGGTACAACCAAACAATGAAATATAATTCAGGGCCAAAAAGAAATGAGCTGTCAAGCCATGAAAACACATGCAGGAACCTTAAATGCACTTACTAAGTGAAAGAAGCCAATCTGTAAAGGCTGTACACTATGTGATTCCAATCATATGACATTCTGGAAAATACAAAATTATGGCAATAGTAAAAAGATCAGTGGTTGCCAGAGGTTGGGAGCAGGGGCTGGGGCACAGAGAACTTCTAGGGCAGTGAAAATATTCTGTATGAATTTATAAAGGATACATGTCATTATACATTTAGTCCAAAACCACAGAATGCACAACACCAACAGCAAACCCTAATCACCCAAAACTATGGACTTTGGGTAATTATGATGTGCCAATGTGGGTCCATCAATTGTAATAAATGTACCATCTCGTGAGGGATGCTGATGACGCAGGAGGCTGCGCATGCCAGGGTAGGAGGTATGTGGAAAATCTCTGCACCCTCCCCTCAGTTTTGCTGTGAACCTGAAACTACTCAAAAAATAAGTCTTAATAAAACAGAAAAGTTAAAATATTAACTTTGAAACCATTAAAACCTTTAAATGTATTTAGAATAATACTTACTGTCTTGCAGGGGGTGATAAATGTTTACCCACACTGTTTCAGAGTCTAGCTATATTACAGGAGAGCAGGAAACACACACACACACACACACACACACACACACACACACAAACTACTCTGGATATTCAAATGAGTGAGAAAGTTAAGAAATGTGTAACCAATGCAATGTTGAGTAGTCCTTTTTATTTTATTTATTTATTTATTTTTTAAATGTCTGATTTTTTTTTAAATTTTTTTTTTCAACGTTTATTTATTTTTGGGACAGAGAGAGACAGAGCATGAACGGGGGAGGGGCAGAGAGAGAGGGAGACACAGAATCTGAAACGGGCTCCAGGCTCTGAGCCATCAGCCCAGAGCCTGACGCGGGGCTCCAACTCCCGGGGAGATCATGACCTGGCTGAAGTCGGACGCTCAACCCACTGCGCCACCCAGGCGCCCCTGAGTAGTCCTTTTTAAATGGTAATATTGACCTCTTTCTTAATAATAGGGAGTTTATTTTAATGTTAAATGACAATATAAAATGCAAGTGACCAAAAACATCCTTCTTATTCTCTAGTGGATTAAGCGAGTCCCACATTGTTAATTTCAGTACATGCAAATCACCTGCAAGGATTAGCTTGTGAATAGTCTGCCGGTGAATATTCTACAGGGAAAAAAGACCTTTCTAGTTGAGATCATGACGATGACAAGGATGATCCCTACAAAAATACAGAACAGTTGTGTTGATATAAAGGTTTCGGGTTTAGAAAGCACAGGCTCACTCTGCCCCCTTCCCATCCCCCGGGGCAGGCAAGGATGAAAGTTACAGGTGAGGAAAGAGGTTCAAGGGAGTGAAGTTGCTACAGGCAAAGTGACAGGTAACTAGAACATTGAGATGGGAGCTGGAAACCATTTTTCTGCCCCTAAGTCAGCATCCTTCCTAAAACGCTGTGTTGCCTTTTCTTGTTCTTTTGTGAATTATAACCATAGTATTCCATCATCAAGTATTTCTGAGAGATTCTTGATAACAGAAAATGTACCTCTTTCCCAAGTATTTTACATATAAAACTGGAAAACAGTTTATGAAATGCAACATATATATGTATATTATATATACTCTACTAAGACACTATGCACATTTGTGTATGGACTGTAAAGAGAAAGAAAAAATAGCGCTACAGGTGATATGGCCTCACAAAAAAGAACTATATTCCACTTTGGGGTAAATATTTTTAAAATAAACAAAAACCTTGATATTTTTTAATGGATTTTTGGATGAAAAAAATAGTAGCATAGTTCTCTGGTCACAGGTTGCAAGGTGAGGCCATGACAAAGACGGAACTGAATTTCTGCAAAACAAAGAGAGAACTGGAGGATACTGAGGACATAGAGAAATTCAGAATACCGACAGAAGATGTGGAGATGCAAAAGAGGTAAGAGAGAGGCCATGAGACTCTAGAGCAAGATAGAGACCTCCAGGGATAGGTGACCAGTGACCCATGATGACCAAGGAATTTCTATAAACTATGCTGTGTGAAAGTCCCAAGTTCTTTCTTATACTTATTTCACTGTACTCACTCTAAAACCTCCTCCAGAAGCTCTTAACTAACTGCCTTATGTTCATGGAATAGGGCAGCAGTGACTCAAAAAGGCTGTGGGCAGCGTGAGACAAAGCAGTGTGGGGAGAGGACAGTGCCCTCCTGGTCTATGAGCCAAAGAAGAGCAGAGAAGCAGGCAGCCGTGTGGACTGACTCATGAGAACAGCAGCTCCTACCTGCTGATCTTGGAAAGCTGGAAGATTTAGGAAAACAGAAGGTACAGAGGCTATAAACATCAGGGGTACCACACTGTTGTCTCATCCACCCTATTCCGGCTCACTGGCCTGGATCTATGTTTCTCGGACTCGAAGATCTTTAAGAATATGACCTGCAGAGTCTGACTTGAGAAATAGTAAGTAATTAGGTTAATCAGATAAATGTTGACACTTGTGTGATCAGTTGGTGACAATAAATATAATTTAAAATGCAAACCACAGTACTAAAATCTCATAAGAGGTACTTGTTTATAAGGTCATGGGTCATTTACACGACCCAAAAATGTGCATAGGACTTGTTTGCTCACATATATAATACTTTAGTAGTTTAATAAAGCACTTGAGCCCCACTTCCTCAAGAAATATATCGACAGACCCCTGGGTACACAGATCCCAACATGAGAAACACCAGTCTGTATCACTTCTCCATCATAATGGACATATGGTTTAATTCTATTTCATAAGCATTCTGTTTTTCAATGCAACCATGACCCCCAACTCACATACACTTCTATTTCTTCTAACCTGGTTTCTAACCTAACCACTTAGGTATAATCACTTTCTTACTTATTTCCAGTAATCTCTACATATGCAAGTTGAGGAAGCACTTGTGAAAGTCCTTCTATAAATTCTATATAAGGCACTGTCCTACAGGCTGCGGTAGATAAAATGAAGAGTAAAACACAGTACTGCCTTGAAGAAATTTACAGTCTGGGTGTGGAGGCCTAAGATAAACAAATTAACACATAGCCCGCAATATAACTCAATATGGTGTTCTACAACCTGCACTTGTTTTTACATCACTTTGCATTTTTAGGATCTATTTTATAAGTGACTCATATTTCATTAGGGTTTAGATTAGAGTTTAAGAAACACGCTCAAAAGTCAGAGGATTAAATGCAGCACCTCTTTCTGGACCATGAGTTTCATACATATTGAGGGTTAGGGGAAGTGCAGTGCTCAAGGGAGTATTTAACTATTAAGTTTTTTTTTTAATTTACTTTGTATTTTAACATATAAAGATATATTACAGAGGAGAATGCAAAATGTGCATGAGTTTTTCGGAATCAATAAAAAAGTAAAACTATGCATAGATAATATGACCGTCTACACAGAAAACCAAATACATTTGAACTAATAATTACTTGGCAAGGTTGCATAATGAAAGATGAATATACAAATATCAACTTATTCCCATATATAAGGGATGAACAGTCAGAAAAGGGAAATGAAAAACTTTCACAGTAGCACCAAAAATATGAAAGACTAAGGCATGAATCTGACTAGCTGTGCAGGACCTGTATGCTGAAAGCGCTAAGACACTGTTGAGAGCAGTTATGACGACACACATGTGGGTCAGAAGATTCAACATTCACTGTTAAGATGTTAATTGTCCTCAACTGATATATAGATTCAATGTAATGTCAATAAAAAGTTCATTTTTTTTTAATTAATAAACTACTAAGACCATGAAAATGCAGGACTTAGACTGGGAGAAAATACCTGTATATATTGGATAAACGATTTGCGTCCAGAGCGTGCGTACACACACACACACACACACACACACACACACACACACACACACACAGAGTTTGCTATATATAAATCACTCCTCAATAAAAACTTAAAAATTAAAACAAATAAGGCAATCTCTAGTTTCAGAAGCATTCTTATCTTACTTAAAAAATCAGTCTTGAGAAGCATGAGATTATGTGATCCTTCAGGTCAGGAACTAAAACTTCTATATTTTCTTTCCTTTCCACCAGGGACTGAACCCACACACAAGGCTTAACAAATATAACCGAATAACTCAGTTCAGAAAAATAATTATCTCACAAGCAAGCAGTCTGGAAGGAGGATGTGTCAGGCTTGGCAGCTCAATGATTTCCTCAAGGATGTAAGTTCTCTCCGTCCTTCTGCTTGGCCATCTTTAGCATTTTGGCTTTTCATTCTTAGGCTTATCACCTCATTGTCAGAGAATGGCTAATGCATCACATTCTCCTGCTACAGCCTCCAGAGCAGTAAGCAATGCAGGATGAGAAAGGAGTCCTCCTTCCTGTGGCTCTCTATTTAGATGAAACAAGATCTTTCCCAGAAGTCCCTTGGGTCACTTGCCCAATAGCAGACCAATCACTGTCAAAGAAGTCTAAAGTTACCATAAATCTGGCTTCAACCAATTAGACATCTAGGACAGTAAGTGGCCCCCAACAAAATCAGGATTCTGTTAACAAAACAGAAAAGAGGTAAATGACTAGTATGCAACTGAAAATGTCTTCTACAATTGTTGGCTAGTAATTTAAATAGAAATCCTGAATAGCCTTTTTATATTACTTAACTCTCTCTGCTTCATATTCTACCGAAGAAGAATCAACATGAATGTTTATTTATTCACAGTCTCCCTTGTCTCAAAACAAGCATTTCTGGGGGTTTATGATACAATATGCTTTAAATTAAGGGTACATCACCTAACCCAAACTGAAAGAAAAAGAGAGAGTGTGCATAGATGTTGGTAATTGCGAAGTGAGACAGAATACAGCATTTAAAACCGACTGCTGCCACTGAGCACATAATGAGTTCTGAATCTTAACGGAAGAAAAAAGGAGAGGAAAGCATGCCTAATCAAACAGTTCTTGATGTGGACAATACAGAGTGAGAACTATCAACTTGCATTGCAATGCTTGGATCCTTTCTTAACACCATTTCAGTTTTTGCTAATGACATTTTCTAATGACTTTTCTTCTGAAACAATTAAAATTAGCTCGCATTCTCTGGGCAGTAGGGCACTAGGGCTGGGTTTGGTATAAGAAGCTGCAGGTATATTTTATGCTGGCTAACCGTTTTCTATTCGAAAATACTGGAGGTTGAATATGGCGGGGATTCATTGGGGTCAAATCAGTCTGAAATTTTTAGTGAAAGTTCCTCCTGCACAACTTCGGGGAAAAAAAAAATCATTAATAAAGGTTTCCTGCACTCAAAACTTCAACTAAACTGTAGCTGAAAGCTCTAGGGCATGAAAAAGCAAGTATGCTGTGATTATGAAGAACACAGCCTGGGCCTCAAAAACCCAGCCTGAATCATCATTCTACCACCTACCTGCTATGGGATCCTGAGCACCTCTTTAAGGTCGCTCGTCCATAGTTTACTCTGATTACATCCACGAAACAAGAGAGTTGGACAATTTCGTCTCTTCAGTCTACTGAAGCTTTAACGAGCAAAAAAAAAAAAAAAAAACTGCCAAAGGGGCAACATTTAGAAAAAGGACAAAACTATTTAAATAAATATACTTAAACTCCTCAGGGCTTTTTACTCTACACCCAAGACATCAAAGGATGTTTTTGTTTTTTTTTTTTTTTTTAATTTTTTTTTTTTCAACGTTTATTTTTGGGACAGAGAGAGACAGAGCATGAACGGGGGAGGAGCAGAGAGAGAGGGAGACACAGAATCGGAAACAGGCTCCAGGCTCTGAGCCATCAGCCCAGAGCCTGATGCGGGGCTCGAACTCACGGACCGCGAGATCGTGACCTGGCTGAAGTCGGACGCTTAACCGACTGCGCCACCCAGGCGCCCCTCAAAGGATGTTTTTTAAAAGAACGTTGCGAGCTCTAAAAAAATTTTAGCAACGCAAAAATTTTCCTTTTCTCTCAATTCCTCAATTTTTTACTTGTCCCCAAAACAGAGAAAACCAAGAGCTTGGAGTTCATTTCCCTCCCAATTCCTTGCATAAAGGGTTGGTACACTCAACCTAATAGAATCTAACAGGAAAGCAACTTCCAGCCTAAGATCCAACATTAACATTCAATCCATATTCATGTAAGGAACACCGATATCCTGAAGTCCTTCAATTAATTCCTTTAAATTCCTCGGGCTTGACATTAAGGGCTCAAGAGTGAAAATAATGTACATTCAATTCCAATGACAGTGCAATAAACAATTAAATAAACAAAAGGAAAAAAAATCAATGTAGCCTTAAAATATTAAACCTATTAGACCAGAAAAGCTCAGCATAAGGTTTACTGCATCAAAGATTAGTGAATTCATTCAACATTCTAAAATAATTATGCATAACCTGAAATTATCATTAACGATTCCTGACTTACTTCTGCATAGTAACTCAGGCACAATAGAACGGGTCTGAATCTCCCACAGAGTAAACAAACACCCTTACTGTAAGTACCATACAAATCTTCAGCAGACAAGCACTTCAGAAAGACCTCGAACCACCCATAACAAGTTACTTAAACACTGAACACCTCTTCTGAGTTTTCACAAAGGGATTCAAATCACAACTTATTTTCTTCGGATAATATGCAAGTTCTTTAATTTTGAATGACTTTCAAAATCTAAGATATTAAACAAACAAACAAAATGAGGGGAGAAAAAACATCAGTCTAGCTGGGATCCCAGCCAATGAAAACTTTATTTCATGGAAAAGAAACGAGAAGTCCACAATCTCCCAGTGAGGATGGAAACCATCACCCCAAACATGGATCAGTGTGGATCTTATTATGCAAAATGGAGTACTGAAAAAAAGGGGGAGCAATCAGTCTTGGGGCGACGGGAAGAGTCTCACGGAAGACACACAGGCACTGCCACACAGAGTTAGTAGCACCCTGACATTATTTGTCTCTTTCACTTACGCAAACGCTCTCAAAACGCAAGTTGCAAAAGCCGTTTGCTTGACTTTCTTTACATTTTTTATTTACTTTATGGACTTTCCGGCTTACTTTCCTTAATATTGATATTTGAATCACTGTTTCAACCCGTGACATTCAGTCTATCGTTCTCGTTACGGAATATCGTAACTAAACCAGGGCTCCACAGGGTTAAGCAACATACAAAAACATATAATGATACAATGTCTATCAACGTGTCAAAGTTACGCATTTGAAAACCACTGATTGTATAATACATGGTAGTCATCAAATACCTAGACTTTACGAGATTTGTGAAATGAGAAAATTTTGACGCAGGTGCTGTTCAGACAAGATTTAGCTAAAATAAGAGCACAAAACTATAAAGTATGAAGACATCCTTAGCCATATGAAAAACCACCATAATATATTTTTCAATCTTTGTCGAATGAAGATTTTAACTTCCTGTGCACCACTTAAATCTATGGTTCAATTCCGGGTCAGAACGAAGTAACCCAAATATGCACTCTGTTATATAAAAGGCCAAGAGGATGAAATTACATCTCTCTCTAATAAGGTCCTTTGAAATCCTATACTAAAGTAACTTCGCGGCCAAATTATTTTTCTTCTGTTAATGCTGATTGAGCAGTAAATAATAACCACGAGAAAAACAAACACGTAAAATAAAGGGTTTCACACCTTTGCTTGAGTTTTCTTAAATGACCCCGATCTACCAACTTTAACACAAGCTCAAAGAAAGGCGACTGTTTCCTCAACTGAATTGTCGCAGTTTTCAGGGGGGTAGACTTTAATTCCAATGCGTTAAAAGCTGTATGCAAAAGTATTCAAATGTGAGGGTGGAGGTTGAGACAAATCAGAAGTTGTCATTTCGAAACACAGGGCTGTTGGAATGGCCTTAGCCTGATAAGGTACTTGAGCTTCTGAGCCTCCATTTTTGCATCTGTAAAAATAAAGGCTCTGGAAGGGGTAACCTCTAAAGGTCGCACCACCTGTAGAACAGGCCCTCTGGTAACGGTAATGTGAAAAGACGAAAAAGTGGGTATGACATTTAATGCGAAAGAAATGTGAGTATGTTTTTGAATCCTCCTACAGGTCCTGGCGTAGAAAAGCCAGCAGAGACTCCAAATCAACCTAAGCCATTTTTTTTTAATTGAAGAATAATTAACATATAATATGATATTCATTTCAGGTATACAACACAGTGATTTGACATTTATACACATCAGGAGATAGTCACGACAATAAATCTAGCTGCCATCTGTCACCATACAAGGTTGTTATAAGCCCCTTTTTAAATCAGTAGATTGAAAAATACATACTGTCTATTTTATCACCTTCAGGCTACCCCTTCATATTATTTCTTGTGTGACAGATCTGTGAATTAAAGAAAATGTTAGTAGAAAAAAAATGGGGGTGCCTGGGTGGCTCTGTCAGTCAAGCATCTGACTCTTGATTTTGGCTTAGGTCAAGATCCCAGCGTTGTGGGATCAAGCCCCACAAGCTGACAGTGTGGAGCCTGCTTGGGATTCTCTCTCTCTCTCTCTCTCTCTCTCTCTCTCTCTCTCTCTGTCCCTAAATAAATAAATAAATATTTGTTTAAAAAAAAAAGAAAGAAATGGACACAGATCAAATTTTGTTCTTCTTATGTATGAAAACTTAAAATTTCAAAATTTTGTTGTTGCTGCTGTAGGCATGAGTCAGGGTGGACGACTAAAAAGCACAGGGCATTTTCTTGGCAGACACACCTCACGGTTAATATTGTGGCCTCAGAAGCCAGACTGCCCACTTATAATCTGGCTCCCCAACCTGCTCGCTGAGTCACCCCTTCCCTATAAACTGGCAGATAACAATAGCTCCACTTCATCAAGCCATGAGAATTCACTGAATTAATATACATAAAGCACTTAGAAAGCCCAAGCAAGAGCAACATAAGTGTTAGCAATGAGGCTCTGGGGTTCACGATCAAGTGATAATCCACCGGCCACGTGCATCATCTATAGCGCGTTGGGCAAAATAATGAAAGGCAAGCAAAGTAAGCAGGCAGTGTTTGTCTCCTCTTTTTAAACTCTGGTTTGTTGGTTTTGCAACCTTCCATCCTGCCATCCTGGTTCCTGCCAAGGAAGTTAATGTGAACTTAACATATTTACTCTTATAGGGGTATTTACATTCTAAAAGAGTCTGGACAGAGAAATCAATCCTCAACCCAAGAAGCTATGAGACGACAGAATTTCATGTACTTGAGACGAGTATTTTTCAGTCTGACTCTACCGTCAAATTTGATACAATCACATCTAAGTAAATAGGCTCTTCTTTTTGTCGGACATACTGATACCCAAAGAAAACACGGCAAGCAGTTTCTTCCAAAGATGACAGGCGTTTTCCTCAACCACAAAAGTGTTTATTTTCTCTTGTCTCTTTTTAATGGTTTCAATGTAAAAAAAATAAATACATAAACGTTCAATGCGAACACACCGTCTTAAGTCCTATTCGATGCGACCTACTCCGCTAAAGGAACACTGAAAATATCTCTCAATAATCCACGTGTTGAGTTCTAGGAGATCACCTACCAGTTTTTAAGGTAATAGTTGCTACTAATCTTCTTTATACCACTTAAGTATTTAATCCTACCATGCTCCCATCCACTTCCTGATCTTGTGTGAACAAATGTACTTCCCTCCTATGTTACTAAAAAAATGAATGCCATCAAAGAGGAGCACCTTAGAATATTTAAAACTACGGACATTCCCTAGCATTTTCAGGGGCTGAGGGTGCTATCCTTCCCTCATCCCAACGCTGTCTTCCTCTTCTGGCCTCCACTGAGCCCCACTGTCCCTTCTGCACCAACTTGAGCCCACTGTGTCCTACTCTCCTGTCATCAACCATACACAAGCCTGCTCTTGTTTGAAAAAGGTGCTCCCTTCAATTACTGTTCTGTTTCTCTTGAAACACACAAGCTCCCTCTTACTTTCCCTTCTCTGTGCTGAGCCTCTGAGATGTCTCTTCTTCCCACAACTCAAATGAGGCTGTATTCCAAAGGGCCACCAATGGCCTCCTAATCACCCGAGACAGCCTTTTTCTCAGTCACCATTCTGCTTGACCATTTGAAATGTCAGACAGTGATGGCCCAATTCCTCCTGAAAGCTGTCTTGGTCTGTAGCTCTGAAGACGGTATTACCCCAATCTTCCTTCTGTTTCCCTGTCTCTTTCGACCCATTTTCTTCCTTCCACTTTGCAAACGTGGTATTCTCCCAGGTTTATCCTCATGCTTTTGCCCTTTTTCCAGACATCGTTTCTCCTTATAACAGCACCCCAAGGAAAATACTGTTTCGCTCTACAGGGCCAGCCTGGACATCTCCTCCGTGGCACAACAGAGCTTCACCAGTTGCTATTTGACATGTTGTCTACAGTTCTAAATTCAAACACATCTTTCGCTTTCCTTACGTCGCTGACACCTGCTCCTCGACCGTCTTACTCGTACCTCCTAAACTTGAAGTTCCA